ACGAAATGAGTGAAGATATTGAAAAACATGCTGAAAAGATGAAAACAAGAAAACTCTCAGTGCAAATGGATGAATCAACTTTGATAGACAGTGTGGCAGTATTGATAACTTACGTAAGATATGTTAATAAAGGGCATTTTGCTGAAGAAATGTTGTTTTGTAAAAGATTAGAAAGCACCACTACCTCCAACGATATATATAATAAGCTAAAAAAGTATATAGATGTCAATAATATACCAATAAATACATAACATCTACATCTTGTGCTGCAGATGGTGCTCCTAAGAAAAATGGGTGCTTAAAATTGATGAAAGAAGAGAATCCAGAAATGATTCTCGTGCATTGTGTTATTCATAGGGAAAACGTGGTAGCTAGAAACATCTTGCCTGTTCTAAATAAAGTACTACATTCAGTAATAAAGTGCATCAATGATATTAAAGCTAATGCCAAATGTGAGCTTCTCTTCAAGCTATTTTGTGAAGAACAAAATGCAGACCATGAGAGAATTTTACTTCACACTAAAGTAAGATGGCTCTCTAAAGGGAACTGCTTGCAAAGATTTATGGATCTGTTTGATATTCTTAGCATTTGTGAGTTATTCAGCCGATATCTTTGAAAAACTAAATATTTTAAATAAGCANGACTTTTACTTCACACTGAAGTAAGATGGCTCTCTAAAGGGAACTGCTTGCAAAGATTTATGAATCTGTTTGATATTCTTAGCATTTGTGAGTTATTCAGCCGATATCTTTGAAAAACTAAATATATTAAATAAGCAACTTCAAGGAACAAATAAAACTCTTGTTGATGCAAAAGCGAAGATATTTGGTTTCATTACCCTTATTGAGTTATGTCAGATATATATTAACAACATTGGCACCAGAAATGTGAAGTAAATAATACCACTTTACTTGTTAATGTCGATCATCTGAAAATTCTATCGGTTGATTTAAAAGAAAGATTCTCTGATTTAAAACAAATTGATTTTCAGACATGGATGATGCAGCCAAAGTTAGTGGATTTGTCTGATATATCAAATATGCAATATCAAGAAGAACTCGCAGAAATGCAAAATGATGATACAGTTAAAACTTCATTTAATATAAAGGGAGTGATGGCATGGCTTTGTGAGGAAACAGAAATCAGATACCCAAATTCAACCAAATGTGCAAGAAAACTATTGCTACCGTTTCCATCTTCATATTTAGCTAAATTTGGATTTAGTGCTGTAAATGATTTACTGCTAAAAAAAGAAATCGTCTGGATATAACACAACGGGGATACTTGAGACTGAAGCTAACCCAATTGGAACCTAACATAAAATCTCTGTTCAGCAAGGATCTCACTAAATTAAAATATTAAATTATTATAGAAAAAACTTTATTAAAACTATATGAATTTTAGTTTTTCATTATATGTTTTAAAAATTTATTTACTGTGTTTTGTTAACAATTTCCTAGTGATTTCTTCCTAAAACCTATCATTTAAGTTTCTTAAGTGAACAATTCAATTTTTAAATATTAAAAATTATGTATATGTTACATAGGGGGGAATAAGAATTTTAGAATGGCTTAGGTGGGGCATGGCAGAAAAAAGGTTGGGAAGCACTGACTTAAAAGCTTCGTATCACTATTTTCAAGTCTCATTTGCTTGTTTAAACTGTTTATCTATCTTGATGGCCGAATTAGTCTAAATCAAATTTATGTATTTTATCAAAAATTAAACAGTAAAGCTTAGCATTTGCTGCATTTTTAAATATTCAAGAAAACTCTGTTTAAAATTGATGAAGTAAAGCTTAAGCATTGTTCAATCGATAATTTACTAAAGACTGTTTTAAGGCTGAAATTAGTTATAACATAATAAATAATAAGTTAAGTTGTATAATATATATATAATAAATTAAGACTCGTTTACACGAGCTCCAAAGCACTATGTGAAAGGCTAC